TCTTCAGCAGGGTGACATAAATTATTTTCAAACTTAACTTCTTTAGAGAAGTTTTGGTCTGGAAAGTATATTAGTCAGCAAGTGAGTACAGTATCTCATTTTATAATAAACAGAGACATTGGTATAATAATCTTGGCCAAAATCATAATAATATAGCAGCAATAATAATAGTAGCAGTAGATTATTAAACAATAATTATTTTAGACATGCCAACTTGGAGAGAAGATTTTCAGTATTTATAAATGAAGTTCTGATTTAGCCATACAACCTTCTATTGGAGGAGTTGGGAATCATTCAATCTATATTAAAATGGAAAGAAATAGCAAGGCCAGGGTACCCTTTGCTGTTTGAAACAGTGGTACCAGAGGAGCCCAAACACAAACATCCTGATACCCAGCCCAACACTCTCCATGTTTAAAGGGCATCTTTCGGCCAAGATTCCTTACCCGACTTGGCGAACAGCTTGAACCAGCCTCATGGTCCAAATTGTGACTTTGGATCACAGCTGAAGATACACAATCATATGTTGTCCAAAGTTGGCATGATTTTCCTTTCTCAACTTATTCTACTGCCAAATGGAGACTATATCCCAAGTGCTGAGAACCACAACCACGGAAAAGGTTGAAATGCTTCTAATTGTAAGGAAAGATCACATTTTTTCATTTTAACATAAGTTGTGAGCAGCAACTTAGAGGGTTTTCATTCAGACTATCTTAAGCAAAAGCTTCTAGGGGCTTTGCTGATTTCCCTGAGGAGAATTTCTCAGAAGAAGGGTGCTCCAGTCTCCCAGCAGATGACTCCTTTACTGGGCAGCAAGGGTTCCTTTTCCTCCCAGCCCTAGACCACAGCCAACCTATAATAACCTTTATGTTCCAAAAGACCAAAGACACTCTTCTAAAATAGATTCCACATTCAACTAAACACCCCAAGTACCTGTTCTAAACGCTTTTGTTTCCTAAAAGGGACTGAACTCACAGTAACCCGTTTGTCAGAGAATCAAGCTAAGTTCTATCTCTAAGCACAATGGCTGCCAAAGGAGGAAAGTGAGCTTTACCTACAGGAAGTGATTCCACCCCAGTGAGCCGGTGGGCACAGCCTCTCCTCTGCCCTCCCGGCCTCTGGCTCCTTCTGTTCCCAGCATCCTTTTCCCTCTTATCACACCCTGCATGAACTGGACCAGAGGTATTGCTTTGTCCAAGACTATGTATGTCTTCCCTTCTTCCTCTGGTCACAAAGTCCCCAAGGAGAGAGCCGGTGCAGCCTCTAATCCAGCCATGCCTTGCAGGGTCCAGCACAGAATGTCCTTGCATAACCGCGACACTGACTAAGATGGACATGAAAACATGAGGCAGAATTCGGTGAGTACACCTACAGGATAAAGATACATGTACACCCTGCCTTCAAGGTCATCACATCAGCAACTGACCAAGAAAATAAGAAGCTTTTACCGCCAATGTTTGCATTTTTCTAAATGACCTATGTGTGACTAGTGCAAACCTCAAGCCAGACAGTCATTTATGGGGTTCAAGGAAGTGTGTGGTCACACAGACATACATGAGGCCCCTGCTGTGGAATGGAAAACACCTACAGTGTCTGTGATTAGTGGTAAAATCACTTCTTTGCTGAGGCCATGCTCCGTCTTCTCTGCCGGTGGCCCCTGGCATGATGTGGGCAGGTGTAACATATTTTAAGTCAGGTAGACGGGCGTCCCTACCTTGTAGTCATTTCACACCCACTCCTTTCTCACCCACCTTCTCAGCCTGGCCACCGGGCCCTGTGTGCCAGTGGAAAGCCATTCTTTCTCTGCAAAGATCTGGAAATCTCTGACCATGAGGGGCTTTCACCTGCTCCTTGAAGGTCCAGCTTTGACCATGGGGCAAAGGCTGATTAGGAGCCCAGGCTGATGTCCACTCCTGACCCTGAAACCTAGAGCATTCCAAGGCTTTTCTGTCTACAGATGATGTGTTTTTCTAGGCCTTTCCCATTCAGCATAAGAGTCCAACTCAGAGACTATAAATGGGAAACCTAAAACACACAGGCCTCAAGTGGGTCTGCAAATGAATTATAAGTGTTCTTTATATTGTGTGTGTGTGTGTGTGTGTTATGAATTCATTGTCACCATTTTTCAATCAAAAGATTTTATACATCACTTCAGACGACTACACTCTCTTTGGACATCGGAAGGGCCTGGTCATCCCTAGTTGATGTTCCTACCCCTACCTGGCACCAGTCTGCTGAAAGGGAGGAATGGCTGCCTGGTAGGCATGGAAGCAACACTGCACTGCATCAGCCCGCACTATTGGGCTCTTGTGCTCATGTCTAACCTCGTGTGCTTCTGGCATGGCAAAGACCACACAGCAGCTCACAAGACAAAGTCCTCCTTTTCCTAAACACACAACAAGACTACATCTTATCCTACACTTGTGTTCACAGCAACATTACTCATAGTAGTTAAGACAGACCATGCTTGTCTTAATAATAATAGTAACTAAGACATGGAAACAAGCAGTGTCCACTGGTGGATGAATGAATACACAAAGTGACATATATGTGCAGAAGAGTATTATACAGCTTTTAAAAGGCAGGAAATTCTGACACATGCTACAACATGGATGAACCCTGAGAACCTGATGCTAAAAGAAATAAGCTAGAAAACAAAAGACGATTGCATGATTCTGTGTAAATGAGATATTTAGAATATATAAAGCATAGAAATGGAAAATAGAACGGAGACTGCCAAGGGCTAAGAGGAAGGGAAGTGGGAAATTATTGCTTAATGGGTACACAGTTTCAGTTTTATAAGATGAAAATAATTATGAAAACAGATAGTGATGACTACACATTGTAAGTACTTTCAATACAAACACACACTTAAGATGGTTACATTGGTAAACTTTATATTGTACTTATTTTACTGGTTAAAAAAAAACCTGAAGAAAAACAAATACTATATCTGCTATCTTCCCATGCAGTTAAGTGGGGTCATACAACTGAGTTTGATCGGCAGAGTGTGTGTGGAGGTGGCATGTGCCACTTTATGCTAAGTGCCACAAAATCTCTCTAAGTGATCCTTTGCTCATTTTCTATCACTTGGTGTAATAAAGTCTGGTGTTGAACATGGCAGAGCCACCGTGAAGGATCCTGGTTAGGCAGAACTACCCACTAAGATGCCCCTGGCCTTGCGCTTTGTGTAGCAAAGAAATCAAAGTCTTTATGCATTTTGGGTTGTTCATTATAGCAACTAGCAGGATCGTAACACATCTTCTTTTGGGCTAGCTGCCCTCAGATCTTTTATCAGCCTGGAGAGGAGAAGGATGACTGCCCGAGGTGGCCTCTCTTCACATGGGTTTTCCCTAGCCAAAGCCTTTTCCCATGGAGGTCACTGAGACCATGAAGAAGAGCAAGTATGGAAATTCAGCTCGTTTTCAATTCATTGCTTTTGTCACATTACTATTATTCCTCTGGCCAAAGCAAGTCACATTCTCAACTCTGGTTGCAAAAAATGAAAGAGAATATTCATGCAAATAGACTATCTTAAATTATACTAAAAGGGGCATGCAAAATGGGACATTTAATTTAATATATTTAATTAATTTAATTTTTTTCTAGTATTTTTCCTCTGTAATTCTAAATGTTATTTGTATGCGGCTACCTCTTAATTTTAATCATTGTCTTTCAGTACATTGTAATGTTTTAAAATTTAGGTTTTTTTCCTTTTGCCCTATTAAAAAATTCCTGTATGCCTTCTACTCAAATTTCTTAAATGTTAGCATTTTACCACAACAGCAGTTGTGGTATTTTTTCTTGAAACCATTTGAGAATGTATTATAGACATGACTCTCCTTTACTCCTAATTTTCTGTGTATATTTCCAAAACCAAGCCTTACTCAACCACAGTACCACTATTAAAAATCAGGGAATCAGCGTTATAACACTATTATCTAGTGTATCTTAGGCTGTCCTATATGGTTGACACAGGCTACATGTGACTGTATTTAAAATTAGGCATTCAATTCCTTGGTTACACTAGCCATATTTAAAGCACTCAATAACTATATATTACTAGTGGCTGTTATATAAGATAGTGTGAAGAATATTGTATCAAGGAAAATTCTGTTGGAGAGTAAGTCTAAATCTTTCAGTCTCTGTTAGGCTGTAGTTAAAGATTTATAGAGATGAAATTTGTATTTGTTCTCAAAAAAGCTATAAGGTAGTAATTACTACCTCCATTTTTTTAGACAAGGAAACAGAATTAGAAAAGAGAATATGGTCCATGGTTCTATAATAAATCTGTTAGTTAAGCAGGAATTTGAACATGAGTGTGATCATTTTAAAGAATGTTCTTTTTCTATGACAGATTGTCCTACTAGGGTGAGTTCTTCAGACGAAGAGCCTAAGACAAGGATTCATGTGTGTGATTGCCCAAGGCAGAGCTTCCAAAGAGAGGGGGTGAAGGAATGGAGGAACAGGACAGGGAGCAAGGCGGCTGACGCAGAGCATCCGTCTCAACCCATCTCTCCAAACATTTGGGAGCATGAACAAGCCAAAGGCTCTCACCTCCCCACCCACTGGAGACAAGGTAGCAAGGTTTCCACAGCCACCATAGTGATCCGTGGACTGCAGGCTGTGGCAGCTGGACATTGCCACATGCTTCTGGACATCTGCTTGCTATACAGGCAGAGCAGCTCCAGAAGCCCATGGCCGTCCTCTGAAGAAGGTAAACGTCCACACTGCTCAAATCAAAGCACCAAGAATGGAGGCAATGGCACCCAGAACCAGTCAAAGGGGTCTCAGAACATGTAGGAACAGCCCCAGTGGAAACCACAGCAGAATACTTTATTATAGTTTCACAGAATGTGTTCACAAAACATCTCTCCCATTCCCTGTATGGGAAGAAAACTTGAAAATCTAGCTGGTTTAGAATAAATGCTCATTTATTTGCTCTGGCCCATTTCCATGAGATATGTGCTTCCATGAGTATCATATCAGTGAGGAGAACTGGGTGGGGAGGGTGGGGTCACCCTTGATAAGTAGCACAAAACCAAAGGGCAGAAATCATAGGACAGATGCACAGGAACACCGGGGAGGCCTGCCTGCCAGTGAGTACAAGGAGAACCCCTCTCTCAAAGACCTCTTGTCTCCTGCCCTACAGTCTACTCAGATTTCTACAGAAATGCGCATACACTTGTGTATGGGAAAGAGGGTGGTTTTATACAACGCTGTGCCCCATAGCTCAAAACTATGAAGTCCAGTGGACGTCACAAGGAAGCTGAAAAACTGTCAGGAACAAACGTGGTGTATCTCTTTCCCTTTTTCATTCCTTTTTCTCCAACCTATTGTCTTTATTCTCTCCTGTGCATATATACAGAAGTATCTAGTTCAGTTTTTTTATTTTAAAATAAAGATAATGACATGGAATTTCAAAACAAAATAGGAGGTTAACAATGGTTAATATATTGCATATTGTTATTTTCAAATTAGGCTCAGATTACAAGATACAGGTATGAAAATGATCGAACAATGAAAGTACAAACCGTTTTTGATGAACTAATAGAGATTAGTAGTATAATTATCTACTACACATGCACACACACACACACACACACACTTTTCCTTTCTTTTCTCCATCCCAGTTGTTCTTTCCTTTTGAGCAGTTTTTTCCACTTTCACAATATCTGCTGCTCATTTTGGATCTTGTTTACTCTTTCATTTTTTTATATTAGGGAGACAATATGATGTTTACACATGCAAGTCTGATTTTTTTCACTTTTGAATATGATCTCAAATTACATCCATTTATCTATAAAAGCTCAAGTTTATCCATCTTTATATCTGGGTAGTACTCCATTGTATAACAATACCACATCTTTTTTACTCATTCTATAGTTTATGGGCATTTGGGTTGTTTCCAAGACTTAGCTATTACAAATTGTGCTGCTATATTCCAGTCGTGAAGCCAACAAAGCATACTGGCTTAAGATGTAGATCCAGGGGCTAGGGATTTAGCTCAGCGGCATAAGCACCTGCCTTGCAAGCTGGCGGTCATGAGTTTGATCCTCAAAAAAGATGTAGATCCAGAAACACAGCATCTCACTTTTCTGGTTTTTTTTGTTTTTTTTGTCTTTTTCGTTTTTATGTGTACCAGGGATCAAACTCAGGCCTGCCTGCTTGCAAGGCAGGCGCTTATGCCGCTGAGCTAAATCCCCAGCGCACTTTTCTAGTTTGATAAAATTATTGATCAGGTCAGAACCTGACTGATCCAGGTCTCATGTCCAAGGTTATGACTCTGATCCAGTCAATGGAGACCAAGTGGGAATAAAATTGTTCCATGGAAAAATGCCATCTGGAACTTAGCAACGGTGCAGATTAGATATGGTAGATAATTTTTCCGCAGAAAAATATACCTACAACAGTATTTCTGGTTCCTCACACTCTTCTGAACCTTACTACTCTTTGCTCTGAGAGATGAAGTCTGTGCTCGCTCCTCTTAAATCTGGGCTGGATTTTGGACAGCTCTAATGAACCAGTAGAACATGACAGTTGTGGTGCTAGGTGACTTCCAAGTCATTAAAAATGTTTCTGTGCAGTGTTCTTTTTGTCCTCTATTTCTCTCTCATTCCTCAGCCTTAGGAACCCAACTACCATACAGTGCAGAAACACATGCTCTGCAAAAGGGTCACATATCAGTGTTCCTCCCAACCATCCCAGTTCCAGGGGACAGCCAGGATCACCCACCATACACGTGTGTGAGGTAAGAAGGTTTCAGCCGCAGCAAAACAAATGTGTCCTTGTTACTGGCTTTAGCCACTCAATGGTGAGAATTTGTTCTTCCATTGTAGCAGCATTTCAATAAACTTTAGTGTTTCTGTTTTCTTGTCCTTCATTAAGGTTATCGCCTCAGGACTTTGGACCCTAGTGTTCTGCGATCTCTTTGGGTCCTCTCACATCATGACTCCCCAAGCTGAGTATGAACCCTAGGGACACGCGGCAAGCAAGTCTCTTGTTCATTATGTTTTTATTTTGTTAAGAACAAGTTAGGATCATTTCACTGTCAGAAAATGGAAAAAAGTATATTATGAAAAGTATGAAAAATTACAGTGCTGCTCAAATTGGTCAGGTGGAGGCTTTGGAGTTTTTATTTTCATTTGTTGGCATGACAAAACACACAAGAGCAAATTTGACCCATCCCTCCCAAGATCAGCCATTCCAAATGGAAAGATACTTTCAAATGCCACTGAAGTGTAAGTATTTCATTGTCCCTGTCCAACATGTGTGGGTCTATCACATGCCAGGAGCACGTCTAGCCTGCCATTCAGCAGCTGTCACTTTCTCCTTGCTGAGATATAATACCAAACATCCACAAGTTAAGGGAGGAAAGGTTTATTTTGTGTCACAGTTTTCAGAGGTTTCAGCCCTTGGTTGACTGGCCCCATGGCAGGGTGGCATAGCAGAGGGGCCTGGGAAAGGGGGACTTGCTCATGGCATGGCAGCAGGAAGCAGAGAGAGGAATCAAGGCCGGAGAGGGAGACAGACCTTCCAGGTCATGTCTGCAGTGACCCATCTCCTTCAAGCAGGTTTCAGCTCTTAGCATCACATTTAGCCATGAACTCATCACTGGACTCATCCACTGATGAGTATGTCACTGTCACACACACACACACACACACACACACACACACACACACACACAGCCTGATCCATGATCACATAAGGCTTTGGGGGGCACATTCAGATATAAATCATAACAGGAGCACACAACATGCTCAGACTGAAGGAAATATGGAGAAACACACTTCACTTCCTTTCTTACTATACTGACGAGTGATAAATTGATAATGCCCTGGACAGGACCTTGCCCTACCTTATTTTTAAAACATTATTAACTCATTTGTCAACTGAGTTAATTTGGGACTATTTCCAGTGATCCTTATGATAGTCACAGTACAACTAGTTCACTGGAGATGGGGCACTTTGTCCAGTGCAGTAGTTCCAAATACATGGTTCTTGGACCACCCGAAGTCAGCATCACCCAGGAAATTACCTTAGAGTCTGTCTGGTACTCCTAATGGCAGAAGATGGCAAAGCTTAAATGAGAGTAATAGGCTCAACCCCGGCATCACAGAGCAAAACACAAGAGGGAAAATAGGGTTCAGAGACAGTGGCTGAACACTGATGAGATTATTTGGGGCTATTATACATCTTATGTGGCCTCAGAACACACATCCCTTTTGGGGATACATCTAACATTCCGAGTGCAGTGAATGGTTTGCATTGGCTCACTCCCAGTGAGGGGGTCTTTCAGTTAACAGAGTACTCTCGTAGTATCTTTTTCTCTTGGCAAAACAGCTGGACTCATTTCCCCACTGCACAGGATAAAAGCTAAACAAGAAGAAAACAAGACAGGGGAATGAGTAGGGCTTCATGGTGATGGGCAGGAATGAAGGCTGTGAATATCCCAGAATCTTGAGTTCTAAGAGAAAACAATACAGCAAAGTTGTCCGTCCCTATCTCTCTGGGGCATCTACATTCCCAAGAAGTGATAACTACTTGGATCTCTGTAGAGCTAGGATAGGTCCCAAGATATTTCAGAGTTATCTCCTAAGTTTTAAAAGAGAAAGTCACACTTACTTGAGGCCTCCTCTGTCAGCTGGCAGCAACACCTCTAGTTCATGATGTTCATCTCTGCTCCAGGCCTTGTCATCGCCCCATCACCATCAAGGCACAGCCACAAAGGGTCTGAGATAGGTCTCTTTTTTCTGACTCTTCTGGAACACAAAATGATTGATACTCAGTAGAAAGAAGAATGTATACAACTTGCAAAGAAATGTTGAGGAGCTCAAAAATAAATCACTTGTCAGACCATGGAGAATAATAATCTGACTTCTTCATGATGGTCACTGTTACAGTTTGAATCTAAACTGTCCTTTCAAAGGCTCATGTACTCAGAGGGGAGGGCTTTTGGAAGCTGCTGGATCATGGAGTTTTAATTTCACCAATGGGTTAGTCTGTTGATGAATCCATAATTTGATGGCATTAAGGGGATGTGATAGAAACTTAGGAGGTAGGAATGAATTGGAAGGAAAGCATTATGCAGATGTGACTTTGGAAAATTTGACCTTATGCTGAACCTTCTGTCAGGTTTCTGGCCATCATGAGGTGAGCAGCTTTCATCTACCATTCCTCTACTCTTCTGCCAAGATAGACTGCCTCACCATGGGCCCATAGCAATAGAGTGAGCCAAGATGAACCTATCCTCCTTTAAGTTGTTACCCTCAGGTATTTTGTTACAACAATAGAAAGCTAACATGATCAGAGATACCTTCATATTTCTCCATCAACCCTAACTGGTACCACTGCCATGTGACCTCAGAACTCCCACTCCCCCACAAAAACATTGAAAACTCCAGGTAATAAGTTACTTTGGAGCTGAGGAAAGGTTGATTAATGGGTACAATTTTATAGTTAGATAAAAATAAGAAATTCAGGCGTACTATTGCACAGCAGGATTATCATAAATAGCAACTATGTATTGTATAGTTCACAAAGCAAAAAGAAAGTATTTTTAAAATTTTCACCACATAGTGTTTGAGGTGTATTTTAACACAATTTATATATTACTGAAGGTATACCTGTGTCAAAACATTACATGGTACACACTAATATTTACAACTTTTATGTTTTTATGCAACCATTAAAAAATAAAACACATACACACACACACACACACACACACATATATATATATATATATATATATATATATATATATATATAACTTTTAACAGAAATAAAATAAAGGTAAAAAGAGGACATATTGTGGAACAGCCCTTGGACCATCTGTTTTTGCCAATCCCTTGAACTTCCTTTTTTCTTAATATTTGAGATTGATGCCTTCTCTAAATTCTAATGCTAAAAACTTGTCCTGAATCCTGAATTAGATCTTATGCAGAAAAACTGCTTCATCTCAGCTCATACCCATCTCTGAGTCAAAATGAGTTTAGAAGATGTGTCACGAGGTAGGCTTACTTTTCCTGCCTAACTTTGCCTTTTTGTAGAAAGAGAATCGCCAAACTACTAAGGTCCAAATTGTGTTCCAGCTTTGAAAGGCTTCTTAGAGAACAGAAAGTACAAAACTTCATCCTGATACTCAAAGCCATTGTCAGCTGCCACAAACTTCACTCTCACTGTCCTCAACCCTGTGTCACCTAGACTTGAATGAATTTATATTTATAAGCTTTCTTCAACTTATTTTTCATCTCTTGACCAAAATGCTGCTCATCTTTCCATCTTGCCTCCTGCGTGAGAGCTTCTCTGACTGGCCCCATCTGCTTGGTACCTCTTTTGGCCTCTGCACTATCAGCATCAACTAACTCTGGCAATAACAGGCACATCTCCATAGGATGCCTGTGTATTCCCAATGTTCCATCTGTCTCACACAGAAAGAGTGTGAGATGCAGAAACAAGACTGTATTTCACACAGCCCCTGTGATGGTGAATCTTAATTATCAACTGCACTGGATTCAGAAACACCTAGGAAATTAGTAAAACACCTGTGTAGGTGTGTCTGGGATGATGTCTCCAGAGACAATCGGCCTGTGGGGCAGCAAATTGAGGTGGGAAGCCCACCCTGAATGTGGGCAGCACCAGCTGAGAGAGTAAAACAATCTTAAAACATTGAAAAGGAAGAGGGAAACCCACTATCCCAGGCTTTCCTCCCTCTGCTTCACGGCAACCATAACGTGAGCAGCTCTGCCCGCCACCTGCTCCCACCATAACAATTCTGCCTCAACACAAGTCTAAAGGCAACGGAGCCAGCTGCCCATGGACTGAAACATCTGCAACCATGAGCCAGAATAAACCTTTCCTTTCCTCCTTTAAATTGCTTTTCTCAGGTATTTTGACATGGTGATTGCGATTGCTGCTCCTGATATATCAACTTGGCTTGAGTTAGAAGGACCGGTTGAGTTCTGTGTGTTCCATGTCTTTGGGGCATCTCCAGAGATGACTGGCATGCAGGTCAGCCAACTGGAGCAGTAACACTCACCTCGGCTGGAGGCTTCCAGCCTGATTGGAAGGAAAGGGAAAGGAGGAGTGGGCACGCATTTGAAAAGCTCCGTTTGGCTTGTGCTGGTACATCTTTCACTGCCATTGTCTGCAGACATTAGCCTCTAGTTTCATCAGCCTTACAATCCAGATTCACACCAACGAGGCTTTTGGGAGGAAGTTCCAGGTCTTTGACTTGGACTATTGCTGTATCCTTGATTCTTCTCACTCTGCAGATTCTTGGACTGAGCAGCTATTGGACTTTCCAGCTCATAGGTAGTCATTGTGAACTCTCCCACTTCTTACCCTGTAAGCCAAAATTTCTTGCATAACTGATATTCTATCAGTTATCTTTTCCTAGAAAACCAAACCAATACAGTGACAAAAAGCTAACAAACACAGACTCCTAGATACAAATTAGGAAATAGATATAAATACATACATGAAGTTTCTTAACTGCAAACAAAAACTGATAGCCACAAAAAGTATAATAAAACACAGGCAAATATTTTATCGACCAACCTTTTAATAAAGGGTTTTAACAAATAACTAATAAATAAAATAAACTACCATGTTCACATCCTATACAGGAAGATTTAAAATTATGAAATCATCACTCTGCAAATTAAAATGCAATTTAAATATAATTCCTGTGAAGTAGCTACCCAGTTTTTAATGGATTTTGCTAATCAGGTTATAAAATCTATATGCAGAAGCAAAGGCCCAAGGATAGCTGAGCCAATTTTAAAAGGAAAGAGCAAGGATGAATGGAGAACTCATTCTACCAAGTAGTTTTGTACATAATGATGGTGAATAATACGGTGTTGTGTTGGCAGAGGGATAAGCAAAGATTAGTGGAACCGATATTCTTGAAACGATTCCATTGATACAAGAAAATGTGACACATAGCAGAAGAGATAGCATAGATTGCTGAGAAAACAGTGGACTATATATCAATAAGCTTATTAGCCGCTGTCCCTGCCCTATGTCATATACAAGAATCTATTCCAGGCAGTCCAAGAGCCTAATATAGAATAAGAGCAAGAGAAAAGAATCTGCTTATGATTTGAAGGTAAGGTAGATTTTCCTAATGAACACCATAAAACCTAAGTTATCAATAAAAGATCAATCAGTTAAACTAAATGAAATTTAATGTTACTATCTCTCAAAAGCTACCGTTAAAAGCTGACCAAGCACAGTCTGGTGTGGTAGTGCACAGGTAATACCAGCTGTGCAGGAGGTAGAGGGAGGAGGACCACAAGCTATGTCCTCGCTTGGGCACCATACTGAGACCCACCTTAAAAGAAAAACAAAACAAAACAAACAAACAAAAGAAAAGAAAAAAAGACAAAAAACAGAAAATGAAAAAGTCAAAGTACCAATGGGAAGAGGATACTTCCGATCCTGGGAATGATAAAGAATATCTGACCAGAATATTTAAATCATTCCTACAAATCTTTAAGGAAACAGACAAACAATGTATAAGGGGGGAAAATGAGTAAAAGATGTGAGTCATTGAAGAGGAAATCCAAATATCCCGCAAATAACTTCTGTACAGACAGCCAAGTTCACAGGTAATCATGGTTTTTAAAATGTGAAAGTATGCTAATCGCATTAGCAAGACTATGAAACAAGCGGACACACAATGGTTCCACCACGGTAGCAATGTAAAGAGGGAGAACAATCCGGCAATAGCCAATGTATATGAAGATAAACGTATGCAGCAGAACCAAAATTCTCCTCTAAACAGACCTCAGGTAACTCTCCAAAGCAATGCTAATGCAGTTCTGAGAGGCACATTACTGAAAATTACCCAAAGCTGACAATCAGGGCCCCTTTCCAAATGAAGGAAACAGCCAGGCTGAAAGGGCAGTGAAATGCCCACTTAACACCTCAAGGTCTTTACAGAGCACTCTATCACCCCTAAGCACGCATTCCAGTAGTTCTTAAAAAGTATAAGAAACTTAACAATGACCCTGAACTTGCATTTTAAACAGGGAGCAACGGCATCCAACCCTGTTCTCTGTCTTCAGTAGCCACTCAACACCTATCAACAGAGATATGATAGAAATGGGCTTAATTCCCAAGGAAAAAATATCCTAAGACTGGCTCTGTACCTTGCTAACTATGATCTATCTGAGACGTTAGCCCAAACAAATTTTAACAAGCAGGAAATGATGGCCTCTGAATTAAAATACCATCGTGTCTGCAATTTAAACGCTGTTGAGAACACTTATAAATAGAACTGAGTTTTCAAGAACAACAACAACAACAAAAGGCTCAGCTTTGACACAGAATGCTCAGAGACGAGGGTAATTCAGGTTCCACTTTTACAGCCAAAATGGATTAATTATTCTTTCCATTTTCTAGCAAAGAAGAGAGGCAAAGGCAACTGGAAAAGGTAAACTAGGCAAGGTTTCCAAAATAGGGCCGATCTTTTGTCTGTTGCTTTTAGTGGCTTCCAGTGTGACCTATTAAAGGTATACTCTTGGCCCCAGAAAAGGGAAAAGAAACTATAGCTTTGTATTCCCAATTCATGTATCTTTGCCTGAAATCTTGCACTCAATTTCAGTGTAATATGAAGAGGCCTCTTCTTTTACAAAAAGTTCCCTCTTCCCACCAGGCTTGTTTGTTATTTTATGTGTTTCTGCATCATTTGAAGACTTTGCTTTGATCTGCATTCCTCCTGGATGTGGGGTTTCCTTTTCAGCTACCAAAAGGAAAGCTGGTTTGTTTGAAAATCTGTTTATTTGGATTTTTTTTTTTTTTTTGCTAGCCTAAAGTTCCTATCTTTATCAGGATGCACAGCGCTCTGTGTCTGTGAGCCTTGGACATCACCAGTTTTCCCTAAGGAAAAGGCAACTTGGAAATAACACAACTTGCCCGTTTGTCTTTGGACTGTGCTGGGAAAAGGGTTTTAGGGGTTTGAGTGTAAAGCTTAAGAGAAGGGATTCTTGCCTAGATATGTCTAATCAGTAGTGGCGCTTTCATGTTTGGACTGAGAAAAAATTGTTTCCTCTCTTGTTAATTCTCAGTTAGGAAGTTTCTCAGCAGGCACAAAGTTACTTGTGTGCAGAATCAACAGCCTCTGTATTTACTGGCAAGAATCTATACCTTCCACAGAGAGAGGGCTGTAAACAAAATGGACTGCTCTCTCTGTCCAGGCCATGGGTATGTGGCCCTCAGAAAAAGTCTAATCATGTGAAGGTGACATCTTCATGTCTCTGTTTCCAGAATATTTTAATTTTAAAAGAAAGTCAACATGTATGGGTCTCTGTATGTGTTACTGGGGATCGAACCCAGGGACCTCACACTGAGCTATACTTTGTACTTTAACATAACATCTTGCTAAGCTACTAAATTGCCCCAGGCTACCTAGAGTCAAATTCACAATCCTCCTGCTTCAGCCTTCCAGAATGCTGGGATTAAAACTGTGCATCAGGATGCCTGGCTAAGAAAAGTCAGCTCTTGAGTTGGGGATGCTTGCTGTGATGCCTCTAGCTTCCCAAGTCTAATTAATAGAATGGCAGAACAAGAATGCTGAGCAGATCAAGGGTCCTTGGGGAAGAGGTGCCAGGGCCAGGTGATTACAGAGGCCTTCATTGGTATGTGCATAGCACACAGGGCATCACCCACGGTCGGCATTGAAAGGCACATTACCAGTGTCACTTAAATGCACTTGATATGGATGTCTAAGGGATGCAGTGAATTACTTGTTGAACGTGGTCTTGGGTCCCTTACACCAAGCCCATAGTCTACCACTTATTGTTTATAAGCAACATTGGCTCTGGACCAACATTTCTTCCTAGAACAGTTCTTAAAAGGACTGAAGCTGTCTATAGACAAAACATAGGGAGGAAATAAAAGGGCTCTCTAAACGAGGAAAAAAGGAGACCTTCTCCCACATCCTCCCTATGCCTCTCAGAGAGAGAAACAGGATGTGTTCCCCAAGGACCTTAAGAGACAGTCAACCTTCAGGGACAGCAGTGGCCAGGCCCTTCTCTCTAGAGGGCGAAGGATTCAACCTGGGAATGCAAACAAACTTAGGAAAACAATAGGCAGGACCAGGAAGGAATGGGAATTATTTGTCTGTTTTTAATAGAATCCTGCCTTCAAGTTTCAGCTTTGCTCTAGGAAAAAAAAAAAAATTACAGTTTTCTTTAAAGTCACACATGAACAGTTTCTGGCTTCAAAAGCTAGAGATCAAATTTAACTCCAGTTGTTGCTGGAGAAGCACCCTTTTTTGTGAGGACACCAGGCCTCCTTGGACTCAAGCTGGGGACAGTGGTGGGTCCCAGAAGGAGACTGGTTAGGTGAGGCTACTCTATCCTGAGGTTTCTCAGCTAGCAGAGCAATTACAGACCCCAAACAGGAGTTAAGATGGACTTGTTTATACCAAACTCTGGGCTGCTGATTTTTCAGCTCAGCCATTCATCAGGAAACCTTTGAGTCTACAAGAACTAACACAACTTTATACTTGTGTTGGTAACCAGACTCCAAAAATCCACATGCATTAAAAAAAAAAAAGAAAGAAAAAAGGACTATTGTTAACCTGGCTTTGTTTTGGCCAAACATTCAGATTACATGTTGCTCTTTTAAAAAGACATCTATATTCTTTATAAGTGTTATTTATGAAGTCCAGAAAAAGTGACTTAGGGTCAAAGCAAACTGAAAATATCATCCTGGCAGATTGAGAAACAAAAGGAACCCTTGTGGAAAGTTTTGGTTTTGAGATGCAAACATCAAAGGAAACTTCGCATTGTGGACAAGATTGTCAAAAAAATATTGTTAGGAGGAGATTGTCTACCGCCTCAAAAATCCCCCAGGTGGCAAAATCAAAAACATGTAATCCCAGAGCTTTGGAAGGATGAGGCAGGAGGTATGCAAGTTTGAACCCAGCCTGGGCAATTTAGTGATTTAGAGAGTCTCTGTTTCAAAAAAAAAAAAAAATTTTTTTTTTTTTAATTTTAAAAAGGGTGGGGGATGTAGCTTAGTGCAAAGGCCCTGGATTCAGTCTCCAGTTCTGAAAAATAAAATGACATTCACTCTTTAAACTTAAAATTCTGATACACCTGGCTCCTATCTTACAAATCCTATCTCCCGTGCTTAGATGGGCTAGAGTGGGCACAGGCGGTTAACTCACACCTGCTGTTTCCCACAAAATCACCTCCAGAACAACCAGCCATTGAGTCCTGCTGATGAAGTTCTGCTGAGAAGCTGCATCCGAGGCAAGACTCTGAACTAGCATCCCCTAGAGAATTCACAAATGCTCACTCTGTTCCCTAGGAGATAAGCAAAGCCCACACTCAAGGATCCAGAGCTTGGGGAGTAGCAGAGACTAGGTCAGGTCTGCATAATGTATGGATCTAAGCCAGCAGCTGCACTTGGAAACTTGTTACCCAGCAAATTTTCCCACTTCCCCCCAAAATTGCTGAATCACACTGGGGAAGGGCACCAATCTGTACAACTCCTCAAGGTGATTTGTATGCATACTTAATATGACAAGTGTAAAGCAAGAAAGACCTCAGGAAACCTCCTAGCCTCTCTGGGGGAGGCCAGCCCGGAAGGACTTTGTAAATTGCAGGAAGGACACTCCCAGAGCGCAGTGGATGAATGCCCGGGACCTTGCTCACAATGAGGAGGGTGCGAATCACCTGTGCCTTGTGTGAGGTCATAAAACCAACAGGACATGTTACCTTTGATCTTTGGAGGAACTCTGGATGATTCCAGCCTTCTCATGCTTCTCCTCATGCTTCTCGTGGCAGCTGGAAAGGAAGAGTAGGTTTCAGAGCCAGAAAACTCAAGAGGAGTCTGAGAGAAGATCAAGCTCTTCGCCAGCCTCCTCACTTTGAGACTATGTGGATTTCACTGCCCTTGGCCTCCCGTTATTACTGGTGACTGTCACATGTGATGTCTTAAATGCACAGCCTGTACCAGGGATCCTGGTTCTCCTCCCTCACCTGGCTACTCTCTCCCAGGTATAACTCACTCAAGCCCTGACCTTAGCCTCCCCTCCACCCCGACTCATGCCATGTTCAAGAATCTGTTACTGCTATTATAGATGCTTCCACCCCAACTCAGAATCAACCCGACACGTTTTAATTGATATGTATCTCTGTATAAATTAACTTCTTAAATGAAACTACTTAGAGTTCAAGTGGACAAATTATTATTTTTTCATAAGAGTTCCTTTGGCTCTGGTTTCTGGATTTTAAAAAAAATTATTTTCTATTTTGTTCATCCAAAATACACTTCACTCACTTTTCCGTCTTAGATAGCCCTTGACTGAGGTTAGGTCTCCACACCCTGCCAACAATCACAGCGACAATAAGGATAATATTATGGCAAGTGAAACCATATGGAGAGCTTAGCATGTTCATCAAGCTAAGTGCCTTATATACATTATTTAATTTTCCCAACCACTCAATAAGGAAGGTATTGTTATTTTTTCCACTCTATAGATGAAGAAACAGGCTTTGAAAAGCAAAGTCACTTGCACTAGATTGCGGAGCTAATCAATAGCTGAGCTGGAATTTTCACCCAGGTCTCTCTGATTTTTAATCTTTAGTCCCTCTATAATTATAAGAAAAAAAATAAATATGAAAGTATCTTTAACTTACAAAATACTGCTCCTAAGAAACATATTTTTGGGCAGGGGACATAGCTCAGCAGCACAGCACCTGCCTGAGTTCAGTTTCTAGTACTAAAAACCAATGGAACAAACAAACAAGCTCTCATATTGTTCCATAGACTCTCCCACTTTTTCTGTTTCTTCCATTATTCAGGTCCATTAGTCTCCACTTGTAAGGGGCAATGTGGCATTATCTTCAGTCTCTCTCGCAACACAACTCTAGATTCTATCTCAGCTGGCATTCCTAGACCAGGGCTCTGTCAGTTGGGTCTTCTGTGGAAGAAAAGCTTCTATGTATTCACTGGTTTGACACATGATGTGTTCAAACAAAACCATGGATTTCAACCTCAACTACATGTTGGAAGATTTAAATAGTCTTGGTGCCCAAGATGCAGCCTGGGCCAATTAAATCTGCCTCTCTTGGGCTGGGGCTCAGGCATCAATAATTTCCAAAGTTCCCCAGGTGACTCCAATGTGCAACTAAGATTGCACACATTGATTACACATTTAATATTCCAACTACAGATTTTTTTTCATTTGCCTTATGACTACAAAACCTACCAGGATACTTTACGTTTGTGTTTCTCTTGGACCAGCCTACATTTAGTAGAAGTTCAATAAATACTGCCTACCAGGGGATTGAGATTTTTGTGAGGTTCTTATAATAATTTTCCTTATAAAGAAATCACCCTTAATTAGCCACCTGGGTTCACTTATTCTCTGAATACTCCTTGGGTCCTGAAACAAGCTAGAAGGAATTTATTCTTTGAAGTATGGATGAAATTTCTCATGTTTTTCTGGAACTGCAGGGACTATGAAATTCTTGCTGGGAGTCTTCACCCAGCTTGGAAAGACTTAAGACAGTCTACAGCATTTACTAATGCTGCACATCAAAAATTTCTGAAGAGTAGATTTAATGTCCATGGGATCTTATGGTGTTTTCTTGAACTTAAAACAACCACATCTCACAGAAGAGAGGTCTAAAGTATGCTGCTGTGATTGGCAGTAGTGTTAACTAGTCAGAGTTTTCTTCCAGCATGTTTAAGACAAAATGTAAAAAAATCTCATCGATCCTTAAGGGAAATGATATATAGATGGAAGGTTGACTTAACCCTCCTAAACCATCTCTACTTGCCTCTTAGAGAGAGAGAGAGAGAGAGAGAGAGAGAGAGAGAGAGAGAGAGAGAGAGATCTTCTGCAGGATTAAATGATATGAATAGCTTTCAGGTTTCCACTGGGGACAGAGTGGGGGCAGGAGCTTCCCCAGCATCTGTTTGGAGGAATGAATAAAGGATTTGCAGGAGCTTTGTGACTGCCAGTATCTGCTGAGGATTGATCTGAGAGCGTTTTCTCAGCCTCTGTTTTGGGCAAGGGCTTCTTTTGAAAGTCATTATCTGACAACAAAGCCTAAACCAGGAGGGAGGGTGGTGTTTGCAGACTGCACACTTGCTGGGTAGAGAGGTGGGCTTTAAACAATTTGGAGGCACACAGATCTGAGCAGATGAATCTAAAGGCTGGGCGGGGCCAAGGAGGGGAGCTCAGCCTCTCTGGATTTCCCAGACCTTTGACCTCGGCCTTTTCCCAAGTGGCTTCTGCTGAGGCAGATTCTCAGTGAGGTCCCTGAAGTGAAAGGTATCTCAGCTGACAGTGTATGTGCCTGCTGAGGACCTAGGGAGAGTGTGTGGCTCATGCTGCTTGGAAAGAATTACTCATCCTTTGCACACTCCCAGGAAGAATGCAAAATGGTGCAGGAACTCTGGAAAACAGTTTAACAGTTTCCTATAGTTAAACATCACTTCCCTTATGACCCAGAAGTCCCACTTCATTATGTTTGTGCAAGAACTTGTATACACGTACTTCTGGCAGCTCTATTCATAACCAGTAAGAAATGAAATGACCCAAACGTCTCTCAATAGGGAAATGCATGAACCGTGGTGCATCCTGTGTTGTAACACCACTCAAACAAAACAAGGATCAAACTATTGATAGGACATTGATGAGTGGTAAATGTATTATTCTAAGTGAAGGAAGCCAGACTCAAAAGACTGCTGTTTGGTTCTCCTTCTGTAACTTTCTAGAAAGGGCAATTATAGGGCACACAGGGAAGGGTGGCATTACATGGTGTAGCATATTAGGATTTGGTGGTGATTATAGTATATCTTTGTTAAGGCCCGTAAAACAGTATACCTCATACAGTGAATTTCAAGTTCTTACAAAGAAGATAAATCCAGTGTGCTACGAAAGCTATGAAAAAGGATTTGTAGAATTCCTAGTCATTCTAGCTGCTTTCACAGTAATTCTGCTTTTCTATTTTCTTTTTTGGTACTAACCAAAAGGTCATGCTCTTATAGTTTGTGAACAGCTGACCATATTACCAGAAGCAGATGACCGTAGTAACTGCCTATTTTCAGGATATATGTGGTCAGAGACTCAAAATTTGCTCCTTGGAATAGCATCACCTGGAAACTTATTAGAAATATAAATTCTAGGGTCCTACCTCAAATTTACTAAATGAAATACTGGTGATGGAAACCTCACAGCCTATAGTTTAATAAGCCCTCCTTGTGATTCTGATACATCAATAATGTCAAACCCTGTAATTTTAGCCTTTGGTAAAGGTCGGGCATAAAGAAGCAATATTTAAAGAGGCTTACTACTAAGCTAAGCTGTTCCTTTGGTTCTAAGTTACTTGTTTTTAAAGTTAATATGAAAACACACTGATGTGTGCAAACATGTCTAGTTTGGTTATCGTATATATTGCCAGAAATTTACAAGTGATTCATTCAACAAATATATACAGCAAGTAGAAATAGTGTTCCAGGTATATGTAAGGCACTGATCCAGGTTCCATTAAGAGAATAAACCTTTTCAAGTTTTGTTCTATTAGTTGCAATCATCACTGGTAATGGGTTAATCAAAAAAAAAAACAGTGACTAAAAATAGAAATATAAAATGATGCAAAATGGTTTTAGCTTAACATAAAATCTGTGAAAGGATATTTTTTGTCCATCTTTTGATCTAAAACAAAAGCTTTGTAAGTTACCAAAATTGCATCCTATCACCTCTATAACACATCATTTAATACTTCTCAATCCTTAACTTGGACTACTTAGAAAGCAATCTGAATGCAGAATCCCGTTTCTCAGACACTTGCATATTCTTTAAAGTTGTCTTGTGCACATTCATTCTGAAAGAATTTAATATTAGCTACTCATTTTCATCAAGTTATGCTCAACTTAGTTTCCACAGAAGCAACATCTTTTAGCACTCGTATTTCATCGGTTTCTGTAATATAGCCTTAAATGATGTAATTACAATAACAAGTACAACTGGCATCTACAGGTTTGAGAACCCACCCAACTGACTATTGGAAAGTGTAACGTTCCACCCTCCATGGAACAGAATTGCACAAGTTCATGGTAATTTAGTCTACTGGTTGCCAGATGCTCTTAGTATATATTAAAGAAGGGGGAGTGGTGGTCAATCTAGTCAGTAGGTAAAATAGAAGAAGCTGCCAGAGACTCTATCAGGATTTAGAGGATCCTGCAGATAACTTATTTAAGATAGTTTGGAGCAGATGTAAGATTATTCTATAAAAACACTTTAACTCACATTTCAGCTTTCTTCTCAAGTGGAGGCTGTTAGTTTGGTTATCCTAGGCTCCATGTAGCCCACAGCAGTTTACTAGTTGTAATTACCATTTACTGAATGGCTGCAAGCTAACATGTAGTGGCCCTGTTTATATTTTTAAAATCCTCCCCCCTCCCAGAGGCTGTATCATTAGCTATTGTTACAATAGTGCTGCACAATGAACCAGCCCCAAATTTGACTTAAAAGAATCAAGTATTATTTTTTTACAAGTCTGTGGACTGGCTGGAAGATTCTGCTGATCCAATCCTATCAGGCTGATTTCAGCTGGACGTGTTCATTCGTCTATGTCCTGTGGTCAGCTATTAGGTCAACTAGAGGATGACTGGTCATGGATTATCTGGGCTAAGACTATTCAGTGTAAGGTCATTTGATAACTCCTACCTAAGAATAGAGCAACCCAGTATTTGATGAATTTAAACCAGGGCTTGTCAGACCTTAATGTACATGTAAATCACCTGGGGATCCTAATTCAGGCTTTCTGGGATAAGGGCTTGAGATTTTCAATGTCTATCAAGCCTCCAGGTGATGCCAAAGTCATTGCTCCTCAGACTGCACTTAGAAGAGCAAGGGTCAGAGTGTAACAAGACCAAGCCATGATGACCACCTCTGTATCATTTAGAATCAAAATCACCTGGCTCGATGTATCTTGGACAGGACCTCTCTCTCTCTCCTTTGCTGCGAATGGTCTTGAGTGGTCTCTGTTTAACTACCTTCCCCAAAGGGGTCTCATATTCTCCTGTTTTGTTAAGGGAACATAATTTGTCTTTTGATTGAATAAAATCCCCTGTAACTCCAGGCATTGAGCCTTATCTGCCATTTGCAGCATTTCTGGTCAGCCTTTCCAATGCTGCAGACAGCAGCTATACCTCTATAGAACTTCTCCAAATAGATCCTCCAAATCCTTTAATTGCTCTGCTAAAAGGTCTAGTATTTAGACCTTTCCCTGCCCTTTTCTGGAGATGACCCAGTTGGTCAATATTACTCTTAAATGTGGTTCCCATAAATACCCAAAGAATTAAAAGCAGGGTCTCAAAGAGATAATTGCACAGTTACATTAATAGTACCATTATTCACAGCAGCCAAAAGGTTAACTCAAGAGTCTAACAAGTGAATAAACAAAAAGTGACCTAACTATGTAATGGAACTCAACTCAAAAGGCAAGGGAACTTTTGACACATGCTACGACATGGATGAATCTGGTAGTCACTATGCTAGATGAAATGAAGTAATCACAAAAAAGACAGTACAAGACCACATACATGAGGTACCTGAAGTAGTCAGATTCAGAGACAAAATAGAACATTGGCTGCCAGGTGCCAGGAGGAAGGAGAGGAAAAAAGGGAATTGCTATTTAATAGGCTTAGTTTCAGTTTTGCAAGATGAAAAGTTCTAGAGATTCTTGCATAACAAAGCCTATGTACTGAATACTACTAAACTGAAAAACGGTAAGGAAAATTTTATGGTTTGTGTCTTTTATCACAATTTTAAAAAGTAGTTCCCAGGCCTGAACAGAGCCCTCCAGCTGTGTGAAGGCTAGTGCAAGATACAAAGGGAGTATGGTTTTTCTCTGATTGCCAAGCTCCTACATTTCTTGAAATACAGTCTCAGACTGAGCCCTATCCTTCTTAACAGCCAAACAGCATTATTAAAGCATATTACATGTGAGGTCTCGTAAAGACTCAGCCCCTCCTCACATGAATTTCAGCCAAGCCATGCTGAAATAGTGTAGCTGACTTTTCTAGTTTTTATCTGGCTTTTCAACGCATAAAGAAATCACCTTTCAGAGATTAACCTTTCAGCCTTATAGTCATTCTAAGTTTTCCTGTGCCTTACCTTTATGTACCTCCAAAATAAAGAGAATTTTTGCTGGTGCTCTGAAATCCTTTCTGACTGACACTGATAAAAATCTGGGTGTCAGTAAACCAAATTAGGATTAATATCTAAAGATCTGGAAATTTATATCATGCTGATAATTCTGTGCTGAAACTAACATTCCTTTATCTTTCTTTAAAAGCTCAACATAAAACAATAAAATTAACTATTTTATTGTTTCAAATGAAAATGTAAACATTAATTTTCTGCGTTCCTTATAACTTCTAACTTGGAGAAAGCCACTAGGAAAGAAACCACCGGCTTGAGAACACAAGTGTCAAACACAGACACGGCCGTGTAATTTATTGAGGACCATTAACCCCAGCATGAAATACTGTGATTTGAAGTCTTGTTGGTTTCCTGGCCTTAGCAGGTGGAATCACTTGTCTTTGATTCTCACGTTAACATGTTCTGAAATTCTCTTAGACAAATATATTTAACTCTCCTTGTCTTAAGTTCCAACAAACCACTACTTTTTTTTAATCTGGAGGCAGGTTTGATTTCACATTTGTTTGGAAAAATCAGGTGCAAGTGAGATGAAAAGGTGCTTGTATAGTTCATTGGATTGTACTTTCCAAAGACTACCTGTTTCAGGAAGTGTAATTTGCATTTCCTTTTAGGAGATACAGAGGCTTGTAAGGACTCAATCACATTTTACAATCATAGAAAATTTTTGACTGCATTTGAATCGGTCAGCTATTACAAATGAACTAATTTAGTTTTTTTTTTTTTTTTTAAAAGGAAGAACAGCTATCCCAGAATGTCCACGAGTTGAGTCACTCAGGTGTCACTCACAAAGCAGACTGTGGCATGGTGAAAAGGAGGGCAGGTGAGTCACTTCCAGTCATTTTGAGGAAACCAATTTAACAGCAACTTACACCTAGGGTTTTCCTTTTTTCAAAAAACATTCAAATATATGAAAAGAGTATGTTTTATAAGTGGGACCATGTCCCTACTTTGCGGCGTCAATAGAACTGTAAAAAATCACAAACATTTGTTCTTAACTCAAAAAAGTAAAATGTGGGTATTAATCCCATGGCTCCTGGATTTTGCATCTTGGGTTTTTGGTGACTTCTGTGATTGGTTTGTTAAAGAAGATGTAGACAAATTACCCTGACAATGACCATGATATAGAATTGGGGTAGGGTGGGCAAAATTATAAATATTTGATCTCAAGGCAAAACCAGAACTACGTTTAAAATGATCCCACAGAAAACTACTCTTGATAAAACAAGAAATTCATGGTTTTGGTTTCAAAACATTAATTCAGATATTTTTGTGTATGTAAAACAAAGCTTTGAAAAAACTATGGCTGGGTCTACTCAATTTATTCTTGAATAAATTCGTGGGGTGGCTGGGGTGGCTGTGGGGGCTGTCATCTGAATTTGACTTTTAATGTCTAATTTGTGGTCCATAGATTATTTTTTTATGCAGAATTTCTTGAAATAGGGAAGAATGAGAAGAACCATAGTGATGGTTGCACATTCAGACACTATGTTTACCATGGGAGGCCTGACCCAGTCACTGGGGTGGTAATAGGGCTCGAGAGGTCCAGTTGCAGGGCACAGGTACCCTTTGGTTCTGGTGAGGAGGCTGTGCAGAAAGGCATCCTCCCTGTGGAGTAGACACATGAGCTTGCATTTTCTGCAGTGCTCAAACAAGGAAAAAGAATTAGTAAAAAAATAGTGCAGAAAAAGCCCATATTCTTTTTCTTCATGAGTATAACTCAGGCTGTCATCAGTCCGCAGTCCTTTCAAATAAACTCTTCGGGGTGCTCACCTACGACGTGTACCGTCACCGTATTCTTGGCACCTGGCCACAGTCCCTAGCATGTAAATATTTCCCTCAACCTTTTATGAGCATTTTAGGATTTAGAGAAATTTGAAATAATTTTTCAGCGAGCACCAGTATGCTGCCTAGATGCCCCTTAACCCTTTCCTATTGTTTTAGCACACAGTTTATCCACCTTACCATGCTTTCTAGTTGGTCATTTTTATGCATGAAGTTGCAGGCATCACTTGTTACCATAAATGCTTCTATGTTCACATAGGTGACTTTGAGGCAATATTCATTTACAATCATTTTCTCTTTTGAACATACAATGAAATACATCAATCTTAAATATACTAGTTAATGAATTTTGACAAATGCATGCAACCCAAACCCCCATCAAGATTGACATTACCTCACTCTTAGAAGAACCTTGAGAAATCCCTAACAATCTCTGCCTCCCTCCAAAATCATTTTTGTGTGACTTTTTAAAAAAATTGCCATAGATTGGTTTTCCCTGCTGCAAAGCTTCACATAAGTCAATCCATATAGGTTACAGTCTTTACACCTGACATTTCACATCACGATTTTTAAAAAAAATTACCTGTGTTGCCACATGCAACAGTAATTCTCAACCACTATTGATTAGCTGATTTTATCACAGTCTTGATTAACCAGAGACTTCAGCTGATTCAGTGATTTTTAAATACAGTAAAGTTGAATGGCTCTTAATTCCTGGGGGGGGGGCCTCAAGGCTGCTGTATGTTGATGACTTAGTAAAAGTAGAGTAAGCTTTGTGAATAGAGAATGAAGGCTTTTTTTTTTCTTTCCTGAAAGTTATCCAAGGATGGCTGTGATTTGATCATGTGAGATGGACCAAACAGTAACAGTCCAGGAAGTGCCCTCCTCCTTTTCTCTCAGGTGTGTGCCTGTGATGTCTAAGGCATTCTTCACAGAACATTTTTCTGGGACATTTGCTTATAGTTGGAAAGTAAGGTTCAAAGGCAGCTAAGGCGAGGCGGGGAGTGGTGAGGTGGGGTGGGTGGGTATCTTCATGTTTCAGCTCTCAGCCCCAGTTCCCCATTCCCCAGGGCCGCGCTGAGGAAGTGGTGGATGCAGCTTCCATTCCATACCTGCTACTCTAATGCGACTGGCTTTTTGGGGGAGTCCCGACTCTGGAAGAGCCCCAACTGAAATTTTTAAAAGAATTCCCTATAGCCCACAATCATCTTCCCTAAATGGGGTTCCCAGGCTCAGAAAGGGTGAGGGACTCTGCTATGAGAACATGATGATTTTGTGTTTTGTTAATGGGTCAGAGCCCCTGATTAAACCTGTCAGAAATCTATTCTCTTTCCTGTTCATCATCTGGGCTCCATCTGCCAGAGGACTGCAGCTGACCCTGGCTCCCACCCAGAGGCACCCCAAATGGGAGACTGAGTAGAAAGTTTGTGGGGGGCTGGTGTTTACACAAACTTTGGCCAGCAAAGTCAGCAGGGTTCCTGATTACTGGACGCCTTGCATGTTGGGCAGTCTGGGGAGGGGGCACCAGACTGCAGCAAGAGAAAACGCCCAGGTGGCTGCTGCCTCAACCAGCTAACAGGACCAGTTGTAAACCTGTTTTGTCTTGGCTATGTCCTTCCCCAAATGTGGATTAATTTGCTCACGAATGCTCGAGATGGTGCCTATTTCCTTTAAGAAAGTATCTTTCTCAGGTGCGTTGATTTGTTCAGCTGTCACGAATCCTAAACTACCCTTGGAAGCTTTGCACCGAATCTTAAATCAGTCAGCTGCTTTTTGTACTCCAGAATATCTGGCCCTGAAAAGACTGCTCATAGTTTAGCTTCTCTTCAAATGCAGTAAGTGGATTACTACACACACCTGCCTTTTTATGCTCTCCTAACTCAGCACGTTGGAACCTATTTTCCCTTGACCCAGGGAAATAATTCATAGCCTAACAGCCCAAGAGGGCTGGAGCCCCATACTGACTTCTGAATGGTCATGCTTTTCTGCAGGACATACTCAGTATGAGGGTTAAACCTCTGTCCACCTCTCAGGTCTCTTTTGTTAAACAGCACCCCTTAAACCAGAAGCAAACCTGCTAGGAAACAGGCTGGCAGAGGCTTCAGCCGGCCCGCGGGTTTCTTTTGACCTTGATTATAACCAGGGGTGTCGCTACTAATTGCAAGGCCAGCCTCAAGGTGGAAAATGGCATCAGTTTCCACCGCCACCCCAGAGAAGTCGAACTCGGCAGTCGGAGGCGTGGTGAGATGGTCCTTCCCAGGCCCACGTCTTGCCACCCAGAGAGGGGCTAGGAGGCCGCCTACAGGTGCAATCCTGGCACTGCGGCCCGGGGTGCCCAAGCCCCCCGACCTTGCTGCCAGCCCTTCGCAAGCCTGGTGGGGCCTCGGCGTGCCCGCCGCCCTCGACCCCGCCTGGTTTGGAGAGGAAGCTGGGAGCCTGCCGAGGCTCCGCAGACTTGGATTCGGAAGGCGTGGCGCGCGGCCGAGGCTTTCCCTCGGATCTGCGGCCAGCCTGGCTCCGGGAAAGTTGTGCAAAGGTCCCAGCAACTTCTGCCCAGCTCGCCTCCGCCGGGCGAGCAGACGGCGGCAAGTGCGCCCGCCTCGCCGCCGCCAAAACAGCGCTCCGCGCAGCCGCTCGCTCGCCCCGGGAAGCGGGCCGGGCTCCCGCGGGCGGGACCTCCTCCGGGGGCGAGAGCCGCAGCTGACGCCGGCGGTCTGGAAGGCGGAAGCAGCCCGCTCCGACAGCGCCCCGGCTCCTACACCTGGGGCTCCTACTGTCGGCCCCGAGGGAGCGACCCGCGCTCTCCCCACGCGCCCGCCTGAACTCCCCAGGGCGGGGTCCGCTTGCGGCCATAGTATGTAGGCTCTGCCACCCTGCGCGTTCCGGAGCCCCGGTCCCATCCAAGTTCTTTCCCGCACTCCCCTCCCCGTCAATCGAGGAGAGGAGGCGTGCCCTAGTCGGGCACGCCCCTCATGAATATTAATAAACGCGCATGCGCCTTGGCGGGCGTGCTGGGTAGAGGTGGCCAGCCCGGACCGCAGCTCCCAGACGGGCTCTCCGGGTCCCTCTCCGAGAGCCGGGCGGGCACGCGTCATTGTGTTATCTGCAGCCGGCTCGCAAGCTCGCTCGGATTTTTTTTTCCTACCCTCCCTCCCCCCTTTCCATGCAGCTGATCTGAAAGGGAATAAAAGGCTGCGCATAATCATAATAATAAAAGAAGGGGAGCGCGAGAGAAGGAAAGAAAGCCGGGAGGTGAAGAGGAGGGGGAGCGTCTCAAAGAAGCGATCAGAATAATAAAAGGAGGCCGGGCTCTTTGCCTTCTGGAACGGGCAGCTCTTGAAAGGGCTTTTGAAAAGTGGTGTTGTTTTCCAGTCGTGCATGCTCCAATCGGCGGAGTATATTAGAGCCGGGACGCGGCGGCCGCAGGGGCAGCGGCGACAGTGGCACGGGCGGGAGCTTCAGCGCGAGCAGCGGCGGCGGCGTCCCGAGTACCCGCGGCGCGCGGCGCAGCGATGCGGTCCTCACGGGCGCGCGGCCGGCCCGGGCGCCCCCTGAGCCTCCTCCTCGCCCTGCTCTGCGCCCTGCGAACTAAGGTAGGAGCCTCTCCTCAGGCCTCTCTCCCGGCCGTCCTCTCCCTTCTTTCCCTCGCGGCACCCGAGATGCGGGCGCTCAGACACCCGGTTGCTCGGCCCTGCGCCCCAGAGGCTGCACCTGGGGCGCTGGGGCGCCAGGTCCCCTAGAAGAGCTCCGGGCCTCCGAAGGGTGACCCCTCCTGGACAGGCTGAGCGTCTTTGCTCCCCTGATGCCTGCCTCCTTCCCAATCTTTGCAATAGTCCAGTTTTTCCCGCGTTCGTGAATTTTCTACCCCTCAATCCTGTGGAGTTCCTTGAATCTAGTTTTGCAAAAATTGTTTTTCCTTGGCGCCCGCCGAGGGCTTGTCGGGGCGGGCGGGGAGGGCAGTCGTCACCTTCACCCTTGGGGCCAGCAACTTTCTCCCGTGCTGACCTTCCTGCCTTTTTCGCCCGCAGGTGTGCGGAGCCTCGGGTCAGTTCGAATTGGAGATCCTGTCCATGCAGAACGCGAACGGGGAGCTGCAGAACGGTAACTGCTGCGGCGGCGCCCGGAACCCCGGGGACCGCAAGTGCACCCGCGATGAGTGTGACACGTACTTCAAAGTGTGCCTCAAGGAGTATCAGTCCCGAGTCACGGCCGGGGGGCCATGCAGCTTCGGCTCGGGGTCCACGCCTGTCATTGGAGGCAACAGCTTCAACCTCAAGGCCAGCCGCGGCAACGACCGCAATCGCATCGTCCTGCCTTTCAGTTTCGCCTGGCCGGTGAGTGGCCTCCCTGGAGGGAGCTGGTAGAGCCTCGAGCCAGCGCCCGCCAGACTCCACTTTCTCTTACAAGGGGGTTAAAGAGCCTGGGTTTGAAACGCGGCACTAAACTGGGAGGGTTTTTGGGTAGTGGGTCAGAGACGAAGACTGTATGTTAGACCTGTACATAGCTTGTCAGGCTGGGTCCCATTCTTCCTTGTTGTTTGCTGTGGCGCACAAAAGTGGTGACCCCTTAAGTCTTTGGGGTTGAAAAGCTTCCAGGCAGGCTGGCTTAAACTTGAAACGCGAGGCCTTGACTTAAGTTCCCCACTCCTGCCGCCCCGCCAGGAGGTCATTGTAGGTGATCTTTTTGCTTAACCAATTAAACCTGGTGCGTCGCGGAAGGCAACTTGTCCCAGTTCTGGCCTGCAAATTCGGTCCAAATTGGTACCCTCCCCTTTCCTGTGAGCGGCCTGGAGGGCGGGCGTGTCCTTCCTGAAGGGTGGGTTGGGGGAGTCGGCTTCCCGCTGCTCCCCGAGAGATTTTGGTGCGTGCTGGGCTGGTTCTAACCCTGCCAGGCTTAGTCTCCCGGGTCGCTCCAGGGTCGTAAGCCCGGGAACCCCCGCCCCCTGCCGGCCTTTTCCTGCCCCCCGCCCCCGTGCGATGCAGTCCTTGTGGCCTTGCTTCCAGCGGTTCCCGGGCTCCGGAACAGCTGTGTTTGCAAACTTCCCGGGGAAGGGCTGGCGCATGCTCTTGTCCGGCGGGCGCGCGGCCCCCGCGATCCCTCCCGGGGCCGTGCCAGGGCACGGAAGCTGGGGCCCGCAGAAGGTGAAGTTTTTGTGTGCAAGTGCACGGACCCTTTTCTCACCTCTGCCGCCTCCGGAGCAGTTCCAGGCCTGCGCGCTCGGTTGGCAGCCCCAGAGGCAAGGCCCTTGCAACATCCCAAAATGGGTGGTAGGAAGATGGGTGCGATTGCAGAAGGGGAGGAAAGGGAAATGTTGGGGGTGCGCCCGCCGTCCGGGAGGCGTGACTGCCAGGACTGGGGCTTGGCCGGGCCTGTGCTGAGTGAGGGTGGGTGGTGGAGGGGGAGTTCGCGCCCGAAGCTTGCTTTCCGCCACGTGCTCGGATGGGGCGCTCTGCTGCCTCCTACCCGCAGGCCCGGGTTGCGTTTCCCAGCTCGGGGAGGGAGAGTGTCTAGCAGGGTCTCTGCGGGAAGCTCAGGGTGGCTCTTTGGGTCCATGTTTGCAGGGACTGGCATGAATAAAGTACCTTGTTCCCTGAGTAAGGTAAAACAGCATATGACGTGAAAAGTTTAATTTGTTTTAACTGTCCGCTGTGAAGCTCTCTTGAGATTTGAGGACTGTGTCTGTTGTGGGATTTTATCCTTACAAAGAGCGTTTGTCTTGTTTGTTAATCCCCTATTAGGGAGAACTTTAAGCTGAGGAGGTTGGCCACCTTTAAACCTGGCGGTGCCTGGGCTGCCAGGGAGTCGTGCCTGCCCTTGAACTGTGCCTCTGGAGTTTTCAGGGGAGGGGGCCTGCAGGTGGTTTCACCCTCCCGGGAAGGATCAGTCTCCAGCCCCTGGCTTTTCACAAGACCATAAAAGGAATCTTATTAGTGGTGTGGAAAAGCAGCAGGCCTGGCGGAGGCTCTTTTTTGGAGAGCAGGGTCAGAGGAGGGCTTGGAGGAAAAGAGGGGAGTCTTGCTCCTCTGCCGGCTGGGGGAAAGGACCTAGAATGGTCTGCTGCTGATACCTGGCAGGGAGTCCTTAATGGAGAAGGTGCGGAAGTGGTGGGAGAGCGCAGGGCCAGTGATTGATCTGCTCCTGGTGCAGTGCCTTCAGGCCCCCAGAGTCACCAACTATGAAATGGGCCCTGGGCTTTCCTAGAATTGGGGGGAGGGGGGGCTCTCCAGGGCCAGGGCGACACTCCAAGTGTGGTTCTTTTGAAGCTGGGCCAAATGTGTGTATCACTCATAAACAAGTCTCCACCCTGCTGCCCTAAAAAGGCCTCCTGTGAAACATAAACTTTTCTTCCCCAGAGAAATTGGAGTTTAGGTGTATTGTTTTAGTTCTTGAACGTGGTTTGAGAAGCACTGTGGTATGTACTTCTCAAGAATGACTGGGGATTGAGTGTAAACTTAACTGTGAGTTCTTCCCTGAGCAAGTGAAGTAGACTGCACAGCTTGGTCTAGTTTGGCAATTCATGTTTCTTTTTAAACGGATTACTAACACTGGGAGTGTAGCTCTGTGGCAAAGGCCTAGCCTGCCATGTGCACTTGTGAGCTCAAAAAAAAATTCCTTGGCTAGGTCATAGTTGAACAAGGTACAAAATGCAAGGGGCAGGCAGATGTATGGTTTAAAAACAAACTGGACCACTTTGTACTCCTAGGCATCTAAGCTGCCAACTTCTAGGATGTGAACTGGGGGAGCACAGTTGGCATTTGTGTGAATGAATCCTCATTTCACTGAACCTGGAAGAGCTGTGGTTGGGGAGTGAGGCAGGTCAGTAGAAAAGGTCATGTAATTCTTGTCTTCTGTTTGGAATTATGACCCCAGTCCTAACTGTTCATGTTCTGGAGAGGAAGAGGAGGAAATGATTTGGTTAGATATGAAATACAATCCACATTCCAGCATGCATGTGAGCAGCACTGCAGAGGTGACAGCCTTGCCTGCCGTGTCCGATCCAATTACAGCGTACTTTTGTCCACTGTTCTGTCCTGGAGATTTTCACCAGCGGCTTCTAATGGCCCTACTGTCTCTGCTATGAGGGGCTAGACTTGAAGCAACTCACTGGATTATGATCCTCATGTTGGCAGCCTGAGTGATAAGAATATCATTATGTGGGGTAATTGGGTTTAACAAGAAGTGATTTGGGAATAACCATTTATAAATTGCTGAAATGGTTAATTTGCACCTCCCAAAATGAGTGCTAAATCTCAGTGCCTACTTATTAAAAATGCATTAGTGTAATTACCACTCCTTTTTGGGAACCCTAGAATCCTAGTTAGGTGTATGATTGCATGGGTGGCCCTAGAGTGAAATGGATCTTCAGAAACTTGGGGGGAGGGATTAATTGGACTATCTGAGGACTAAGCTGCATATTTAAATTCTACTTATCCCACTGAGGTTGCTAAGGTCAATTTAACTTCTTTAGGAAAACACAGTGAAATGTGATTTTTGCGTATTAGAGAAAGATCAGCTTTGGAACCTTTCATATTTAAAGCCTGAGTGAGTCCTTGACAAAAGTTTGGGTAAATCAGCTACCACCATGTTAATTGCAATATAATTGACAAGTCCTTGCCTTTATGCTTCCTGCTGTTTTTAGTCCTCAAGCCTTTGTACATGAGGTGTAGATACACAGAGGGCAGAGAAGAGGGGTTTCCAGGTGAGCTAGTTCCTTTCTACAGCAGGTTTTTACAAGGTGCCTGTGTGGTCTACATGTGCATTATATACAAATAGCATGTGTGTATGTGCTCAGAACAAGGGATTTGTGTGTGGAGAAAACACCACAAGACATGCTAAGACATCTACCTCAAACTAAAGTGATGGGATGATGTGCATTGCAGAATGGGCTTGGAGGAACAGTGGAACTGTGCTAGCTTTGAACAGGCTCTGCTAAATAGCTATAGAATATTTGCTTCCCAGATGAGATTGCTGTTCCAGGTACTTGGGTTTTCTAATACTTCTCTTGCAGGTGTAACTTTCTGTGTTTTCTTCTTCCTTGTTGTTTTGTTTCTTAGCAACTTATTCAAACCTCCAGGACTTACTTGAGTTTGCAGCCCACCAGCTCCACACCCATAATTCTGGAGAGACTTAAAATGTTTGTAGAAAGTGGTGATGCTTTGGAACAGACTATTGGGGCTGGTGAGTAAGGGAGAGAGGCAGCAACAATTTACAGGCTGCAACCCTTCAGAAAACCAGCAATCTGAATGCTGCCTTGAATCTTATGCCAAATAGTGGTGCCTTCAGGGAGCTTTAGGAAGGAGGCACACATGGGAACTCTAGCATAAGAAAAAGGCAGAGCTAATGCAACTTGGAGTTCTCGTGTTCTTGATCTGCAGCCATT